AGCACCAGAGCTCCATAAGAGGAATACAGTACTTTAAATAAGAAGTAAAAGGATATAAAAAGATACACTATGCAGCACTGATTAGAAGAAACTTATACTGATAAACAAAGTAGACTTTGAAACTCAGAGTATTACCAGAAACAAAAAGGAACATTTGAAGTGATGAAAGGGTCAATTCATGAACAACTAGCAGTCCTAAATGTTTATGTTCCTAATTACATAGCTAGACAGTATATGAGGCAAACGTTGACAGAATTAAAGAGCAAGAAGGAACACTTCCAAACTTTCTTTGAAGTCAACATAATCCTGAAAAAAGCCTATCAAAATTACTACGAGGGGGGGGAAAGGTATGTAGAGTAAGCCCTCTTGTATCCTTTGAACAAATACTTAAATGAGGTCAGAGAGTAAGCTGCTGCTAAGGATGGGGAGGCCATCGAATGAAATGAGGAAGGCTGCAGGTGAAGCTGATTTGGGGGGAAACGTTAGGAATTCAGTCTTGTATATGTTTAATTTGAGGTGTCTACTAGTGATGAGGTGAAGCAGTCAGGTGAGGCTTTGGATATAGTAGTTTGGAGTTCAGGAGTGAGCTCTAGTCTAGGGAGTTTACCACAGTAAAGCTATTAGACTAACACTGTATGGCATCATCAATCAAGGAAGTGTAGACAGAGAAGAAAATCAAGATCTTGATGTGCAGGGCCCTTATGAAATTGGTTCTCTTACTTCCTCTCCACCACCACCCCCCCTTTCCACATATCACAGGAGCTATGTTTTAACCATATCAAACTGCCTATATGTTTCTCGGAATACATCGTTGCTATTTTGTTCATGTTTTATCTTCCTCTTAGAATGCATCTTGTCTTAACCACGTAACAAATCCCTAGTCATCCTTCAAAACCTTTCCCAGGGTCACCTCCATTCTAGTACATTGTGTGCATTTGATACTACCAGCACATTATATTGGATATACCTGTCTTTCCTACTTGGTGTAAACTTCTTTGTACTCCAGGTGCCTAGTAGATAGGTATTCAAATATTTCTTGAAATAGAACTGATTTATGCTTTGAACGGCAACGATTATGTTCATAAGAATTCTAGTAAAATTTATCACAGAGAATTCTTTAAACCTCTGTTCTTAAAATGTCCTGCGTCCTACTTTGGTGAGTGCAATCTCAGGTCGTAAGAGCTAGCGAGCAGCCATCTATGATGCATCAATTGGTCCCAACCACCTGGAGTAAAGGAGAATGAAGAACACCAAAGTCACAAGGCAAGTACTAGCCCTAGAGAGAGAAAGGGCCAAATAAACCAGAGACTGCATCAACCTGAGACCAGAAGAACTAGATGGTGCCTAGCTACCACCAATGACCGCCCTGACAGGGAACACAACAGAGAGTTGCTGATGGAGCATGAGAAAAGTGGGGTACAGAATTAAAATTCTAGTAAAAAGACCAGACTTAATGGTCTGACTGAGACTGGAGGATCCCCAGAAAGCATGGCCCCTGGACTCTCTGTCAACCCAGAACTGAAACCATTCCTGAGGCCAACTCTTCAGACAAAGATTAGGCTGGACTATGGGACATAAAATGATAGTGGTGAAGAGTGTGCTTTTTAGCTCAAGTAGATACATGAGACTAAATGGGCAGCCCCTGCCCGGAGGTGAGATGAGAGGGCAGGATCAGGAGCTGGTTGAATGGACATGGGAAATCGGGTGGAAAGGAGGAGTGTGCTGTCACAGTATAGAGAGAGCAGTTAGGGTCACATAACAATGTATGTATAAATTTTTGTATGCAAGACTAACTTGAATTGTAAACTTTCACTTAAAGTAGAACAACAACAATAATAACCTCTTCTTAAATTTATTTTTTAGTAGGAACTTTGGAATTTTTTTTAATTTAGAGGTTGTTTAAACTTCTAGGAAGCTTTTTGGTTTACAATGAAGTTATGTTCTCATTTTCTTGACATGTGTACTTATTGTTCTGTTTATGCCTTTAATACTACATGTTCTTTGCGAAATTATATTTACAAGATGATATTACTCTGATATATTTAGAATATCCACATCTTAAAATAATTTGGAGCTAACTGACCAGGATTACAGAAGTATTCCATTTCAGTCAAACGTATCATGTTAATGAAAGTTAAACTATATTTGAAGGTGAATTTTGCTGACAAAGTTACATTTAATAGACACTTTGAAAATTTGTTTCTAGCATAGTCTGGCAGCTTAGTAATAGTCAAACTGGATTAATTTCTTTCTGAAATAGCAACCCAACAGCAATATTTATAGTATTTCATTTCTGTTTTAAAATGTATGTGCGTACATACATGCACAGAAAAAAATTGAGAAGACTGTATACATCAAACTTATTTTTGATCATGATGTTTCAGAATATTTTCACTTCCTAAGTCATTTCTGTGGTGTTGAACTTTTTTTAAAAAACAGAATAAATGTATTTTTTTAATTTTAGGCAGGGAAAGATAAACTGCCTGTTCCCTGATGTGGAGTTAAGTATTGCGTCCTATTTATAGGCTTGATCTGCCTACCCTAGTGGAAGCTTTTTTTATAGTTAAATTGTTATTAGCTCCAATGTAGCATAATGCAGAGGGTCAGTGAAAAAGAGGAAGAACCTCGATGAGATGAATTGACACGGTAGCTGCGATAACGGGCTCAAACACAGTAACGATTGTGAAATGGCGTGGGACTGGGCAGTGTTTTGTTCTGTACATAGGATTACTCTGAGTTAGAACCAACTCAGCAGCACCTAACGACAGCAGCAGCATCACTGTAACCACCTTTCCCTCTTGTGTGAAGTGAAGAAATAACTAGTTTTTATCTTTCTTTTAAAAATTAAATATACTTGAAGCCTGGTGATTGATTACCTAGAAATCATTCTTAAAATTTAAAAAGCCCCAAGGTCTTTCACATATAATTCAGAAGCCTGACTTTCTAAGTTCTTAAGTTACTATTTATTGTTGTCTATAATAAAACTTCGTAATTTTTCAATCACTTTTAAAATACAAAGAGGACTTTCATTTAAAAAACAAGTGAAATGGGTAGTTGTTAAACAGTGTGATTTAATTATAATATAAGCTATATCTAAAATAATACGCCTAGTTTATATATTATACTATAGTAAATTAAAGAGTATTGTTATAATAGACAGTGTAGATAAGATATGATTCTTGTATTTTAAGGGATCCTGTATTTTACAGGATAACAGTGTCTGCAGATTTTTTTAAAAATGTAAGTGGTGGAAGGTGGGGAAGTGAACCCAATAGATTTTATTGTTGTTAGTTGCTGTCAAGTCACTTCCGACTCATGGCAACCCCACGTATGCAGAGTATAGAACTGCTCCATTGGGTTTTCATGGCTGTGATCTTCAGAAGCAAATCACTGGGACTGTCATCCAAGGTGCCACTGCTCACCTTTTGGCTAGTAGTCACGTGCTTAACCTTTTGTACCACACAGAGACTCCGGAGCCCAGTGTATTTTCATCAGAAAAGGATTTGGGGCGAAATGTCGTTTTACTTTAGCCTTAACGATTAGAAAGCCAGGGTATGCTTTAATAAAGAGGAGAGTTGTTCTGTGAATGAGATGTAACCTAGTTAAAGAAGACATAAATCCGACATGGGAAAGTAGGACAGAAGCACTAAACATATTAGGCCAGTAAACTGGGATGTCCCATGAAACCATGACCCTAAACCGTCCAAACCAAGGAACTAAATCCCATGAGTTTGGTTTTACATAAGCAGCCTCAGCAGCTACTCTTTTTTTGGTTGGTTTGTTTGGAGGTCGTTGTAAATACATTATTCATTCTTAATAGGTAGTTTTCAAACGATGTCGTTTGTTTGTAATGTGGATTCCCTTGTTTCATTCCCAGAGATTCTGGTTCTGAAGGTCTGGGTTGAAGTCCAGGAATCTGAATTTTGAATACTGCCCCATGGCTCTGCTTCTGAACCAGAAGTGTTCTTTGTGCATATTTGAATTGTTTTCTTATAATAAATTCCTAGAAGTAGGATTATTTGGATAAAGGGAATATACTTTTAGGCATTTCAATACATAGTGGTTCTCTTAGTCATCTAGTGCTACTCTAACAGAAATACCACAAGTGGATGGCTTTAACAAAGAGAAGTTTATTTTCTCACAGTCCGGTAGGCTACAAGTCCAAATTCAGGGCATCAGCTCCAGGGGAACGCTTTCTCTGTTGGCTCTGTAGGAAGATCTGTGTCATCAATCTTCCCTTGCTCTGGGAGCTTCTCTGCTCAGGAACCTCAGGTCCAAAGGACACGCTCTGCTGCTGGCACTGCTTTCTTGGTGGTATGAGGTTCCCATGGGTCTCTGCTTGCTTCTGTCTTTTATATCTCAAAAGAGATTGGCTTAAGACACTATCCAATCTTGTATACCTCGTCAGCATAACTGCCGCTAATCCATCTTATTAGATCGTAGTGACTGAATTTACAACAGATAAGGAAATCACATCAGATTACAAAATGGTGCACAACCACACAACACTGCGAATCATGACCCCGCCAAGTTGACAGATATTTTTGAGGGACACAGTTCAGTCCATCATGACAGTGGTAGATTGTCCTCCAGAGATGCTATATCTATTTACATACCCATCAGCAGGGTGTAAAATTCCCATTTGCCACCCCCTTGTCAGTACTAGGTGTCATCAGTCTTTTTGATCAGCAATAAATGTCTATAGATGTCTAAAAGGGACATTTTGGTATTGTAGAATGTTATTCTAACCTTCTTAGTAATTTTTGTGTACTATATTTGTCCCTAAATACATAATATGTATGAAAGCTATAAGTAGAATGTGGACTGAATGGCTGACAAAATTTGTTTATCAATGATAATCTTTATAGGAAGATAGTCACTATGAAAGGATTGGGTTTACTGATAATGTAAACAAAACTTTATACCTTTTTTATATGTTTACCTTAAAATATGATTAGCTTCATTTGTTGAGTTATTGAGTACATTTTGGTTTGTTCCAGTAGCCGGATCGAGCTGGGAGATGTGACACCACACAATATTAAGCAGTTGAAGAGATTAAACCAGGTCATCTTTCCAGTCAGCTACAATGACAAGTTCTACAAGGATGTGCTGGAGGTTGGCGAGCTAGCAAAACTTGGTATAATATGGTTTTTTTCCTACCTTCATTTGCCAATTCATGTTCTTGATCCCTATTTTTTAGTATTAGAGCCAGATAGAGATACTCGTTAGTCTAATTTTACATGGGAGGAATTGAGGGTCTGGGTTCTGAGAAAAATCTTGGAGAAATCAAAATAAAATATTTGAATTTAAAAAGGAAATTTGAAATTTTTTTCTTATTATTTAGCGTGTGCCTGTGTGTGTTTTCACTTCTTAGCTTTATTCTAGAGGGAGGTTTCAACTTCCCAAGACGGTGTAGGGGATTTTGAGGTTATTTGATTTTCATAGAGTCGCCGTTAAAATGCAGTGCTGATAGCAACAATTTAGTCTTTATAGAAGAGGAGGAAAACATTAAATAAAATGTGTTGTTCTATTTGTTGGACTTTATATCTTTATATTTTCCTTGGCAGCATATTTCAATGATATTGCAGTAGGTGCAGTATGCTGTCGGGTGGATCATTCACAGAATCAGAAGAGACTTTACATCATGACACTAGGATGTCTGGCACCTTACCGAAGGCTAGGAATAGGTAAATTATTTGATTGTTTTGTTTTGTTTTTACTTCTTCAAAGAAACAAATACATTGTTTGTTACTGATCCTGCCCTAATAACTCAAAAACCATTCCTTTTAGGGATACTGGGAAAGATTTACTGAGTGAAAAATTTTAAAACCAAACCAACTGTCATTGAGTTGATTCTGACTTATGGTGACCCCAGGTGTGTGAGAGTAGAACTGTACGTGTTCCATAGGGTTTTCAATGGCTGATTTTTTCAGAAGTAGATTGCCAGGCCTTTCTTTTGAGGTGCTTCTGGGTGGACTCAAACTGCCATCCTTTGGATTAGCAGCCAAGTGTATTAACTATTTGCACCACCTAGGGACTCCAGGTGAAAAATAACTAGTGTTTATTTCTTAACATAATTCAGCTGGAGGCCCTTTACAGATTTGTTTATGTTCCATTTTGCTTTTTCTGGTTTTTTGCTACCTGGAAGGGCTCATATGTAAAGGTTGTTTTTCTGCTATCGTTTTTAACCATATATAGTTACTGGAGAGAGAGAACAAAATTTTGGGAGATAATTTCTTGCCATGAGTCAGAGCCAACTCAATGGCAACTAACAACAGTGTGTACCTTATAAATACTATTAATACTCAATGAGTACACATGGTAAGATAATAAACAGATAGATGCGTAAATTAAAGGTTGATTTTATGAGGGTTACTTATTTGTTGTTTGTCTTATAGGAACTAAAATGTTAAATCATGTCTTAAACATCTGTGAAAAAGATGGCACTTTTGACAACATATATCTGTAAGTAAAATAATTTTTATCTAAAATTAACAAGAATTGATGTTCTTATCTAAAGAACTTAATAAATTGGCGACAAATTTTCACTAGCAACTTTAAAATCTGGTCACATATTTCATTATTTCTTTGGAAACACTGTGGAAGTAGTTGTTACAGGAGTTTTTTGTTTTTGTTTTGTTTTATTTTAATAGTAGATGAGGAAACAAATAAAATTCATTCTTGTTTTACTTTATTATGTTGGGGTGGGAGCTCCAGAGTCACTGGGATGAGGCCAGGATTAAAGCTCAGGTCTTCAGAATTTGAGACTATTAATAGCACACTTCTCATACCATGTTTGTTTGCATTCCCTGTATTTTGTTCAAGGCTATCAGTGACCATGCTGTTTGTCATAGAGCTTAATAATCAAAGTCAGAGAGGTGACTAGCAGGAATGATACTTGGATCACAAGAGGCCTTGGATTAAGATCCAAGGCTGAAATCATAACCATGGATTGTTTATAATATAACTACTAAGGTCATTGTCATTTTCACTTTGTCAGTGAGAGAGATTAAGTTATGTAATGTTATTTTGGGAGGAAATGAGAAAGCCCAAATTATCATTTATTCAAAATATAGCATGTTTTTTATTAATCAGAAGAGAATATATTCAGGGATTGAGATCCTTTTTTTTTTTTTTCTTTTCCTCCCCCCCTTCAAGTGTTAATATGGCCTTTGATTCTTTCCTATGGTTATTTAACCCATTTTTAATTACAGGAATCTCTTCTCCCCTTCTACTAAAAAATGCTATGCTAGATAGGGTACTTTACCCTTTGTTGATTGCAGGAGTAAACACTGTAACTGAGCCTCTTAATCTCAGCCAACTGTCTTGCTAATGTAAGAGTTAGGTTAAAAGTGTAAGTTTGTCATCAAAATATTTTCTGAAATGAACACTTAATTTTTGTTGGTTACTGATAATATTACATGTGAAATATTGCACATTTTATTTTATAAAGAGAGTCTGAAGAAACATCCACTGTATTCCGGCTGCCACCAGTTTTAACTGGCTGGCAGTTTCAGATTTGAGGCTATCTGTGAGAAGACTCAAGCTGATGAAATATTAAGTTTTTTTTTTTTAATACCCTTTATATTTCAGGCATGTCCAGATCAGCAATGAGTCAGCAATCGACTTCTACAGGAAGTTTGGCTTTGAGATTATTGAGACAAAGAAGAACTACTATAAGAGGATAGAGCCCGCAGATGCACATGTGCTGCAGAAAAACCTCAAAGTCCCCTCTGGCCAGAATGCAGATGTGCAAAAGATAGACAACTGAACAAATTACAAATGAACTTTCTTGCACTTGCTTGTCGCCAAATAAAAGAGGCCCATTGATTTCCCCCTCTTTCTTTTAAAGCTTTCCCCTCCTCCTCATCCTTGTTTCTCTTTCTTTCTTCCCCTTCCCTCTAAAAGTTTTAATACTTTCAAGGACTTTAGAAATCATGTTTGGATTGTTTTAGTTTTCTGATTTTTGTGAGATGGTTTGATTGAAGGAAGGAAAAGGTATAGATCTGTTTAGTTTCACAGTTCAGATATATGGTCCCAAAATTTTGGGTGTTAAATAATTTTAGATTTTTTAGCTGATTTTTTTAATGTCCTGCTTTCACATTGAAAGGCAGAGCCTACAAAATATTGTATATTTCAAAAGACAAGAAGCAGCAGCAGCAGCAATATCTTGTTTTCTAATTCATAGACAAGTTTAGTGTGTTTGTGGTACTTTGGGTTTTTAAAGACTTTGTGGGATACTAATCCCTAGACATTGCCTTCACTCCACCTTTAGTCCTTCTGAGCACTGTCTCTGGAATTGGACCATTGTTATCCTTGTAAGAAATACTAAGCTTATTTTGTTTTTTTTGAGCAATTATTTCCTTTCTTCCTGTTGCTGGTTGAGGGTGGGTGGGGCAGTTTGGGTAGGTAGTGTTCTATATTTTGGTCTCAGTGTTTGAGTTAAATTGCTTTTTGCTAATGAGTGGGCTGGTTGTTAGCAGGTTCGTTTTTCCTGCTACTGGTTGTTAGTAGTGGCATTAACTTTTAGAGTGTGGGCTGATGAGATTACTTTTTTTTTCCCAAATGTCCCAGCTAGAGATAAGGGCCTTTAACTGGCCTAAAGAGGTTTGTTGTGATTTACTTTTTTCTCTGGTCCTTTTTCTTCATTAAACCAAACAATAGTTTGTCTAACTTTAAAAATGGAGTTGATGTTCCATAAGTCAATACCCTTAAGTAAACCTGAAGCAGGTGTTTTCTCCTGAACATATTAAAAAGTTCCTAAAAGGAAACTTTGATGGACTTGTGGCACAATAAATGCATTTAATGTCAGCTAGTGCAGACTGCTAACTAAACCTGTGGCCACTAAGTGTTTGATTATATAGGAAAGACTATCTAGACAGTATTTTTCGAAATAACATAGCTGTGCTATTGCTTATCTGTTGGAGAACATCCCAGATTTGCTTAACACTCTGTGCCTACAATGTTGAGTTTAAGGATTTGGAGAAGGGTGGGATTGTTAAACATAATGCTTGTAGGAAAAGTAGTTTAGAAGTGTTGATGCAAATGTCACTGTGACCTGCTCCACTGACCAGACTGGTTTATGCCAGATTATTTTCTGGTATACAGGAAATGGCTTTGACGGGTTGATAACTTACTGTAACATGGGAGACATCTGAAATTGTCATAATCCAGTCTCCAATGTTTTAAATTTTTTACATTGCCAATACTGATAGCCCAACAAATGTTCTCATTAGACTTTAAAACAGCACATAGGGCTTGAATTTTCTGTCATTTGACTTTAAAAGGAAGAGTGATTCATAATGTTTATCCTCTTATATAAAATTCTGGTATAAAAGCCTCATCTCTTCAAACATTAAATGACAAAAAGATTTTACAGAATGTTTATGCACAATTTTATAATCCTAAGTTCTAAGAATGTGAAAGTACAATAGACTTCAACAGTCTTATTGAGTGCCAAGAATAATACAGAAAAGGAAGATAGTTGATGAATGAGTATATATGGGTGTAATCTTAAGATAGTAAAAATGTAGAAAGACCACACTGGTTTCTTGAGTATTGGTTTCTTAAGCAGTCCAAATCTTAGGAGGAAGGTTTAGCATTAAGCACCTTTAACCTTCATGGGTAACCTGCTTGCTCTTGCTGAGAGAAGAGTGCTTGAGTTACAGAAAGCATAATTAGTTTTGGAGAACTCAGCCTTTTTCTAAACTTCCAGGTATCAAAATAGATTTTGATGTGTAAATTGAGTTTTCTGAGATGACACTGCCTCTATTTCTATAACCATTTTACCTGGACTATCTAATCAGTCCTATGAATGTAGCCCTAAATGTGGTTATTGGAAACAGAATAGCTGCCTTATGACAATTAAGTACATGTTATTTAAGGAGGGAAAAAAATTAAATTTTGAAATGAGTGTGTAGGCTCCTTATCATTATAGAATTTTTTTCCACACTAGTCAGTGGCTTAACCTAAGTTGTAAATGTAAATTCTGCTACATCAAACTTGTATTAAATAATTCTATCCACTTATGGAGGAGGAGGGAGATATGGAGGAGGTAGAAGCTGGGCCCTAGTTCATATGCCTGTGAGTCAGTAAATACTGAAATAGTGTCCATGTTGAGTTATTTTGATATATGATAAAAATTATCTTCTTTGAGGTAAAACAATAATTGTATTAAGTGTAAAAACACAGAATATGCCCATCATATTTTTCAGGACATATAGTTTTTACTGTGGGGTGACTAGGTAAAAATTACACTGTGTGGTATTGCATTTAGGTTCTAGAGAAAAGAATCTGCAGAGAAATCTATGCAATATATAATTTGTTCAGATTAGTTTTCATTTGGGGAAGGAAGTTGTGAAATATCTCCAGGGCAGTTTACTCATCAATTGAAAGTCCTCCAAAAAACAGAACTATTGGGAAACCATGGTGTGTGGTGGTGGAAAAGAAAAGCTCCCTCAGTTTTTTGGAGGGAATAACTTCAAAAATACTTAAATGGCTAAGTTTACTTGATGCAGTTAAGAATTAAACTTGTCAATTTTAACATTGCTGTTATATCTGAAATAAACTTACGTGATGTTCTGGTAGTGATCTGTGATGTCTGGTAAATGTCAAAGAACACAGTGCATTGTGTTGACTTCTGTATTTCGGGTCAGCTATACATAGTCATTATCACTCATAATGTTTTATTTACTTTTATATTTCTTTAAGATCTAACTCAAAATTCATTAAAATAGGCCAACTGGAATCAAGACTTCCTAATTCAGACCTTTTGAAACTCGGTAGATACGCTACCCAATTTTTCAGGTCATTTTTCTGAAGGGAAGAAGATGACTCCATGTCTGCTGGTTTTCATATCTAACCAAAACTTATTTTTTAAAAAATAACTACACTATAATTGTATACTACATATTTGGTTTTATGAGGCTTTTTTCTCACAAATGCTGCGTAGTAAAACTTAAGTACAAATGTTAACTACATATATAATCTAAATTTCCTCTAAAATTTTTAATACTCTTTGATCTTGATACTCTCACATACAAAATAGAGAATATAATAAATAGCACCTACCTCAGATTTGTCAAGATTAAATGAGGTAGTTTGCATATAAAATTCTGAAACGCAGAAGATGGCACTAGTAAGTACCCTAAAAGTTAGCTTTTAATACCTTTAATACAGTCCCAATAAGAGAGAAGAAAACAAGATCCAAAGAGCTACCCTAATGCTGTATTTTGTATATCAGTGTTAAAATCACCTAACAGGCCATGATTAGTAGTGTGCTTTGGCGATAGATAATGTATATTCAAATTTTTCTTTTTGTTAGTCATGAAGGAGGAGTTCCATAGATAAGTGAGTTTGGAATGTTTCTGAGTTTTTCCTGAATATCAAACAAACATGAATTTAATTTTTTGTCCTTAACAAAATATCTATTAGTCAAAACTGTTAGAATTCTGTGTATTCCACTCAAGAAATAATGGGTAGTCTTCGCCTAACATTTAAAACAAAGGGCCTAGCTTGGGAACATTCAAGATTTGAAGTAATCTGGATTAAAAATTGAGAGTGTGTGTCTTAGCCTGGGTTCTATAGAGAAGCAAAACCAGTTAAGTGTATGTATATATGTAGAGAGAGATTTATATCAAGGAAATGGCTCACACGATTGTAGAGGCTGGAATGTCCCAAGTCCATGGATCAGGATGGAGGCTTCTCCTGATTGACGCAGCCCCGGGCTGGTGAACCCAAGATCGGCAGGTCCGAGAGCAGTACTCCTGCTCACAGGCTGTGAAGATCAACGGATCCCAAGATCAGAAGGCAAGACCGCAGTCTTCTAATTCACATAGCTGCAGGGCTGGTGAACCCAAGATCGGCAGGTTGAAGAGCAAGACTCTTTGCTCACAGGCTGTGGAGATCAACAAATCACAAGATCAGCAGGTAAGCTGCTAGCTCAAGTCCCAAGAACCAGAGGTCAGACCAACAGGAGGCAGCTGTGGGATCCAGAGAGTGCCAAAAGCCAGAACGTCTGCTTATACTTGGATGCAGGCCACTCGCCCAAGGAAACTTCTTCAACTGACTGGCTACTCAGCAGAGCCCATCTTGGGGGTGATAACATATAAACACTGAGAATAATGGCCCAGCCAAGTTGACAAAATCTTAACCACAGAATGTGTAACATTTAAAAAAAGACATTCAAGTAAGCAGTGGTGTACTGTATTTGGTACAGACCTGCAACGCAGCTTTTGATTGGTTTGATTTGTGGGCATTTTGTATTGAGTAGTAAGAGAAAACACTGAAGTTAAAAGTTACAAGTAACTTGAAACAAACATTTTTCAGTGTTGTTACATCTGGCTGTGAGGTGGGGCTAGAGCATCTTCTGAGGAATATGTCTACCTGAGGGACTTTTTCAAACTATGTTCATTTTTCTCTTCCCTTTTATGAGTTACAGTATGAGCACCTCATATACCTAAATACAGGAGAGTGCCTGATTTGGTTTGGGAAGGATTTTAGGGCCTTGAGTCAGAAATCCAGGAGCAGGGGTGGCTCTGAATCAGTGTCTAAAGGTTGCTGTCAAGCTGTTGGCCAGGACTAGAGGAGCCACTTGCAAGATGGAACGCTCATAGCTGTTGGTGGATCTCAGTTCCTTGCTGTGTGGGTGGCTCCATAGAGCTGCCTGAGTGACAATTTGGCATCAGGCTAGCTTCCCCCAGAGCAAGAAGAGAGTGAGCAGAAGCCACACTCTTCTATGACTTAGTGTCAGAAGTGACATGCCATTTTCCTGTTGGTCACAGACCAACTTTTGTACAATGTGGGAGAATACGAGCAATAGGAAAATGATTATAATAAATAGGTATATTTAGAAAAATACAGCTTAATTTTTGCCTAGTAATGAGAATTTGAAAATATTTGTATTCTGCTCAGCCTACTACACTTCTTTGCATTAGATTCATTCATTTCAATAGTATTTACTGAAAGTTTACCATGTGTCAGGCACTGTGGTCAGCACTCTATACAAGCTGTTTAATTCACATAACAATCCTGTGTGGTAAGAACTTTAATTAGTTCCATTTTGCAATTTCAGAAACAAGGATTGTTGTATATGTTCTGTGACTCCAGAGCCCAAGTCATAACCACTCACTACTCCTGTTGGGGAAAATAAATCTGATATAATCCAAATGGGGCGGGGGGGGGGGCGACATCTATATAATAATATTCACTCTAAACTAGAGGAAACCAAATGTCAAATAATCTTTATTGTGCAACCTTTAAAAATAAGCATGTGAGAAGAAAAATTGGGGTGGAGGGACCCACTAACAATAAGTGGAAGAAGGCAAGATATAAAATTACACACACAAGGAAAATAGCAAGGTGGAAATTCAACCATACTGAAAATTAAATTGAATGTAAATAGTCTGAATACTTAAAAGGCAGAGAATTTTTCAGACCGGATTTCAAAAAGCATGCTATCTGTAAGAAAACCTGAACCAAATCCTCTGCTGTCGATTCAATTCCAACTTAATAGTGACCATATAGGACAGGGTAGAACTGCCCCATAAGGTTTCCAAGGCTGTAAATCTTTGTGGATGCAAACTGCCGCATCTTTACCCTGCTGAGCAGTTAACCACTGCACCACCAGGGTTCCTTATCTATAAGAAACTGACTTTAAATATAAAGGAACTGATGGAAAAGATATGTAAATGTTAGTCAAAAGAAAGCTAGAGTGGCTAACAGTATCAGAGATCTCAGAATAAGGTATTACCAGGAATAAAGGTGAACATTTGCTAATAATGAAAGGCTCAGTTCACCAGAAGAGCATCATCTTAAATATATGCACAGAGCTTCAAAATACATGAAAGAAAAACTTTAACAGAAGAAATACATCAATCCACAATTATAACTGGAGATTTCAAAACTCTCAGGAATGAATGAACCAAGTGGAAAATCAGTAAGTCATAGAAGACATGAATAACATTATCAACCAACTTGACCTTAATTATCATGTATAGAACACTTCACCCAACAACATCAAAATACATATTCTTTTCAAGTGCACAAAGAATATTCATCGAAATAGACCATATCCTGGGCCATGAAAAAAGTTCTCAATAAGAGAATTGATACCATACTACCTATATTCTTTAACCACCACACCAGAACAAATGACATTAATAACTAAAATATCTGGAAAATCCCCACATATTAGGAAATTAAACACATGCTTCTAAATAACCCGTATGTCTAAGAAGAAATCACAAGAGTAATAAAATACTTTGAACAGAAAGAAAATGAAAACAATATATCAAAAGCTGTGGGATACAGCAAAGAAGTGCCTGAAGGGTAATTTATAACATTAAATATGTATACAAGAAAGGAAGAAAGATCTGATATCAAGGATCTAAGCTTCCACATTAAGAAACTAGAAAAAAGAGCTGGTTAAACGTAAAGTAAGCAGGAAGAAAGGAATAATAAAGATAGAAGCAGAAACTAATAAAATTGAAAATAAAAACAATAGAAAAAAATGAATCCAAAAGCCAGTGCTTAGGAAAAAATAAACCTATAGACTGACCAGAAAAAAACAGAAGACACAAATTACCAATATCAGTGAAAGGGATAACTTACTACAGAACTTAGCTGATGATAAAAGATAAAGGAATATTATAAACAACTTTAGTAAAATATAAACAGTGAACAAACTTTTTTTAATTATACTTCAGGTAAAGGTTACAGAACAAACTAGCTTCTCATTAAACAGTATACATATTTTTTCATGACATTGGTTAACCCCACAACATTTCAACACTCTTCCTTCTCAACCTTGGGTTCCCTATTACCCACTTTCTTTTCCCCTCCTGCCTTCTAGTCATTGGCCCTGGGCTAGTGTGCCCCTTTAGTCTCCTTTTGTTTTATGGGCCTGTCTAATCTTTGGCTGAAGGGTGAACCTCAGGAGTGACTTCATTACTGAGCTAAAAGGGTGTCCGGGAGCAATACTCTTGGGGCTTCTCCAGTCTATGTCAGACCAGTAAGTCTGGTCTTTTTTTGTGAGTTAGAATTTTGTTCTACATTTTTCTCCAGCTCTGTCCAGGATCTCCTATTGTGATCTCTGTCAGAGTAGTCAGTTTTGGTAGGCGGGCACCATCTAGTGGTATTGGACTCAGTCTGGTGGAGGCTGTGGTAGTTGTGGTCCATTAGTCCTTTTCCTTGTATCTTTAGTTTTCTTCATTTTCCCTTGCTCTCAGAGCGGTGAGACTGGTGAAGTATCTTAGATGGCCTCTCACAGGCTTTTAAGACCCCGGATGCTACTCACCAAAGTAGAATGTAGAACATTTTCTTCATAAACTATGTTATGCCAACTGAGCTAGATGTTCCCCGAGACCGTGGTCCCAACAGCCCTCAGCCCAGCAATTCGGTCCCTCAGGGACTTTGAATGAGCTTCCATGACCTTTCCTTGGACAAGTTGTGCTGGCTTCCCCAGTATTGTGTACTGTCTTAGCCTTTACCAAAGTTACCACTTATCTTTTGTCTATTTAGTGTTTTTCCATCCCCACCCCTCCCCTCCCTTGTAACCATCCAAGATTGTTTCTTTTTGTGTGTAAACCTTTTCATGAGTTTTTGTAGTGTAGTGGTCTCATACAATATTTGTCCTTTTGTGATTGACTTATTTCACTCAGCATAATGCCCTCCAGATTCATTTATGTTATGAGATGCTTCACAGATTCATCATTGTTCTTTATTGTTGCATAATACTCCATTGTGTGTACATACCATAGTCTGTTTATCCATTCATCTATTGATGGGTATCTAAGTTGTGTCCATCTTTTTGGTATTGTGAACAATGCTGTAGTGAACATGGGTGTGGATATGTCTACTTGTGTGACGACTCTTATTTCTCTAGGATATATTCCTAGGAGTGGTATTGCTGGATCATATGGTATTTCCCTTTCTAGCTTTCTATGGAAGAACCATGTGTTTTCCAAAACAGTTGTATCATTTTTCATTCCCACCAGCAGCCTATTGAATTTTTGATCAAAATGTTTAGTACTGCTAGCTGGGCACCATCCAGTTCTTCTGGTCTCATGGCACAGGAGGCAGTTGTTCATGGAGGCAATTAGCCGCACATTCCATTTTCTCCTTCTATTCCTGACTCTCCTTTTTCCTCTGTTGCTCCAGGTGAATAGAGACCAATTGTTGTGCATTGGATGGCCACTTGCAAGCTTTTAAGACCCCAGGAACTACACAACAAACTAGCAGGTAGAACAGAAGCACCAAACACATTATTAGGCCAATTAACTGGAATGTCCTATGAAACCATGACCCTGAATATACATACCAAGGAACTGAATCCCATGAGGTGTTTGGTTGTACATAAGCAATCTCAGCAGCCACTTTATTTATTTGTTTTGTAGTTGTTATAAATATATCTATCACACTTTTGCCAATTAAACTTTTTACAGGTGTGTAACTTATTGACCAACTCAAAACCAAACCCAATGCAATTTTTTCATCACCGTAAACCAAAACTCAGTACTCTATACAGTAACTGCCCTTTCCCCCTCTTTCCTGCCCCTGGTAACCAATAATAAGCTTTGGTCTCTATGCATTTGCCTTTCCTTGTCCTTTTACATAAGTGAGGTCATACAATGTTTGTCCTTT